AATAAAGCAGATATCTTTCAAAATGTCCGTCTGAATGGTTTTACCCTTCAAGACTCCATTTGCACTTCAAAAGTCTCTTCTCCTCCCCACCCCCACCTCTCCCTCCCCCTCCAAAAAAAGACTTCATATAAACTCAGGGTTTGTTACATTTAAATAATGAGGAGGAGGAGATAAGTAGTGATTTATGTGCTGGTTTGTTCCTTTCTTCCTCTTGTTGAATCGCCAAGTTTGTAAGCAATATTTCATCAAACTGTTCACTCTGCAGATCTAAAGCTCCGGAAATGTTTGGACCTTCAACAACTCCCGTTTTTAATCTTCATCCACATGTCGTCCTTCAAATGAGCGGACGACTAAAGAACCATGTGACTTCTAGCTCGGAAGCCTCCACCCCAAGACTAAACAAGACGTTGTGTTTTAAGTCATTCTGCAGGGCCACATGCTCCGTGGTCAAAAACAATCAAATGTCAAAAGGCATTTTGGTGTAACAGTCCCAGTTAATTTATATTTGTTGTTCTTTTCCCAGTTCAATGTTACATCAAATTCTCATGTTCTAGGCAAATGATGGAAACCAAAATGATCCTTGGGGAGAAATTTCACATGGATTTAGATTTACTTTCTTTATGTAGCATTTTAGAGAGTCCAGAAATTTGGTGAATTGTTGGGTTGAGTCTTAATGCTGTAATAATAATAATCCTTGCATTTGGTATAGCACCTTCTCACATCTTCCACGTCTCAAAGCACTTCACAGAATATACTGTAAAGTGAATTGACTGTGTAGCCGGTTTTCTACAGTTCTTAAAATAAACTAACAAAAAACTCAAAAATTAATACCAGGTTTTAAGAATTTTGGATGCTCTGAAATGTTACAAAGATAAGAGTTGATCTGAACCCAGATGGAATAGCTTCCCTACCATTGTTGGCTCAGTTTCTGAATCCAACTGTAAATAAGAAAAGTGGATTTTTCTACATCCCTATTTTAGTAATGTATATGACCAACAATAGCTTTCAGGGGCTAGAAGGAAACACACACATAAAGGTCAAAAAACACAATGTTAACTGCAGGTCTCAACCTGAGCTCTTACAGCAGCTAGAGATCTCTGAAAAGGACAAAGGGATTGCTCATTGTTCGTTTTCATTCACATTTTAGCTGGATTTAGAAAACAGGTAAGTGTTTCTAACTGAAGAGAGAGTCATAATATGTAGAACGTAAGTTTCTCGTTCATGGTCTGCAATATCATCTTATCAAAATGTAACTTTTTTATAGCTATATTGCTGGTTTTATGAAATTTGCAAGGTCAACATAGACCTTATTGTAGATATCTGATGAGAAACGATCAAATACTAAAGATGCGTTCAGTTTATAGTTGTTTTATTTTAGAAAACAGAAAATAACAGACCCCATCCCCCCAAAAGCCCAGTCATTAGTAACCAGGGTGGGTAAGACAGAGTGCAATTCACTTCTGAGCAGCCACGGTTACATGCTGTGCAAATCACATTACTGAGGATTCCAGATGACCCGGGGGTGGGGGGGGGGAAAGAAGAGAAAATAAAGGCACTTACTCTGTTAAACCAGCAAACAAAGTCAGCATTCCAGCTGAATGCCATTGCTGGAGCCAGTAATGAAGACACGGCTGTTTGATGGTTAGGATTATCCACAGGAAGCCAGCAGAGCATGCAGAGGCAAATGATGTTGTGGCAAGCAGCAACTATCCCCATCACCCGTGAGAATGTGGGTTTAACATTGGGTTAAATCATTTGTTACATTTCTCGGGCATTTTAAAATTCTGCATCTCCTCGTGGAAGCTCATTGTAGATCAATGCAAGTAAACCATGGCGTTAAACCTGTATCTGAACTGTAAGAATCCAATCCAAAGTTCGTAATGGTATGGAGTAGCCAAAACCTTCCAATCATACTGGTTTACATTCTTTTATTCCAGACTGGATCTGCCGTATTCAGCTACAAAGAGAGACTCACAGACTGAGTTACCTCAACACAGAAACGTACCTCATCATTTGCAAGTTTCATTCCAGGGGAGGGGAGGAGGAGGAGAGAGGGCTATAGTGTTGTTTGACTGCAGCTCACTGCTGGCAGTATTTGAAGGGACTTGCTCATTGCCAAGACAACAGGAGACACTGACCGGTGTGGTAATAGAGCTGAGTTCTGGCTGTGTGGCTGGATATTAAAAGGAGCACACTATCTGTAGGAGAATGAACAAGAGACAACAGGCCCTTGACTCGATTGATGTGTATGCACAAGTTCCTGCTGCCTCTGGGCTCTGATCGACATTTTTCTTTGAACAACCTGCACTGAAAGCCTTCCTTCATTTAGGATTTCCGTTGGATCTATTTGTTCTCTGGTTTTAAAACCATATGCTTCAGTTGCAAGCCTCATAAATCTTACTTTACAAGACGTCTTTAATCCAACATTTTGAAGGTATTTGCATACATTATTTTCAATTCCACCAACATCAGGCTCATTTCTTTAAACTATGCTGCTGGACTGCAGAAGGTTTCAATACATCAAACACAACACAAAATCGTCACGGAACTGTTACCAAAATAACCATCCACAATTAACAGAATAACCTGCGATAATTCATAGTCAAGAGAATGGCGGTAAGCAATTTTGGAGTAAAACTGGTGAGATATACTAACACTTTTCTTAATAATAATCCTTGCATTTGATATAGCGCCTTATCATGTTGTTGCGACGTCTTAAAGCTCTTTACAGAATATATTGTAAAGTGGATTGTTTGTATATTTTGTGGGTGGAAGGAAACCTTATCGTAGTTATGCATATGACCATGTATATGTAGCTCAGTGGTTAGAGCACTCGCTTTGCAAGCGAGAGACCTGAGTTCAATTCCAGGCAGGGCGAAGCCTTGGGCAAGTTTCCTTACTCCACACACCTAATAATAATCCCTCCAAAACAAAAAATAATAAATTGGTCATTTTCAATCTACGACTGTTTGTGGGACATTGCTGTGCGCAATTGGCTGCCGTGTTCGCCCACAAATATACAGTCAATTCACTTTACAGTGTGTTCTGTGAAGCGCTTTGGGACGTCCTCCCGATGTGAAAAGCGCAATATCAAATGCAAGGATTATTATTATTATTATTATTAAATGCATTTCACCTCTTTGCTAGAGGTGAATTAATTTCAGCTGCACTGTTTATCTCCTGGTGTCACACGATTCCCGGACTTTATTACAAACACATACACACAGCGACATCTCTTTCCGTGTGATGGTCTGAGGCACCACCTCCACCTACAAGTTATTTAGATAGTCTATTAACCACAAGTTACCTTTGTCACCAGTTAAATGAACCTTTGATATGAGTCAATCAATAGGCAGAGACGCTGACAGAGAGGTCAGTATGACCTTGTGAAGTTCCGGCATGTTCCTGATATTTACACAAAATCCAGTTTCTTTGTCAAGAGTGAATCACGGGAGATGTGTGCAAAATGCATGTATAGCAAGACTGGCTTGCAGCTGGGCTGGCTATCTGTTCTCCAGAGAACGGGATAAAGATCTATTTGGCAATTTTTTCATAAACGGTCTCTTTGGGCAGAGTGCCATTGGAACCAAAAGAAAGATAACCACTTTCAAAGGGGCTGGGAATGGTTTCAAAGGAAAGGCTTCCATTTTGTATTGTTTTCATGTTGCAGGTTCACTTCAGAAATGCCATCATGTAAAAACCACAGATAATTTGGATAAAGACATCATTTCTAAAAGACAGGTTTGACAGCAATTTCTTCTCATTTAGCAATGTGCTACGAAATTAGTGCTTACAAAAGGATTGTCCCGAGGAAAGGTCAGATTATGCACTTTCAGCAATGCACAGGGAGAAAGCAAACACATGGACAAATCCCTGTGCTCCATCTAAACCAATGGTATTGTTCACCTAATGACAAGTTCATTGTATGCCCTTCATTAGAAGAAAAAACAAAGCTTCACACCACAAAATCTGATTAGACTCACACTGGCTTTTGAATATTCTGAGATCCTGCTGGTAGGCAATTTTGCAACAACAAGGAATAGTTAGTTACACACCACGTGGAGGCGAGAAATGAAGCATGGGATTGAGCTTTCTAACAACATTTTAGCACACGGCCAATGCAGAATTTAGCACATGACATGAGACAATCAAGCAACCAGGACAATCTCTGCCTTGATCTGCACAAAGACATTTGTAAAATGACTCTCAGGTTGCCAAACCAAGAAACCTCCTCAGTTGTGGAAAAGAAAGGGATTCAATAGAGGCATCTCAGCCCATGAAAATATCACATGCTGCATAAATCAGAGAGTGATGAAGAGGCTTCAGCTCTTCGATTTGATATAAGGGTAAAACAAACAAAATTGCATTTTGAAAACACAAGATAAAATTAAATAGTTTAGCTGCTGAACCTTTTAATTCCATACAATGTGGTTGAAAAGGCATTAATCTGGAAAACATCGGTGCAGATAGCCCAATGATACTGGGATGGCGTTGCACTATTGGAGTTATCCTTCAGATGAGATGTTAAAGACACCATGATACTATTCGAAAAAAGAATTTCTCTTGATGTCTTCGCCAACAATCCCCCAAATAAAATTGGCATTCACTTCATAGCTGTTTGTGGGATAAATCCTGTGTGCAAACTGGCTGCTGTGTTCGCCCCCAAAATACAGTCAATTCACTTTACTGTATACTCTGTGCAGCGTTTTGAGACGTCTCACAGACGTGATAATGCACTATATCTAATGCAGGGATTATTATTATTATATATTCAGATTCAATATCAACAATATTGATCTTGTTTCACTCACAATAGAATGTTGTTTTGGTGAAGTTATTCCTCAAGATAAGGGATAATAATGCTGGGAAATGGACACATTCAGTGACAGCGTCAAAAGCTCAACATGTTAGGAACATACAACAAGAAGAAGATTACGTTTGTATAGAGCCTTTCACATCGGGAGGATGACCCAAGGCGCTGGACAGAGTACAGCATTTCAGACTCGAGCTGGGGTTGGGGGGGAAAAGGGAAGGGAGGGGAAGGGGGGTGACCGATGGCATGGTCAAAGAGGAGGGTTTTGAAGTGGGACTTGAAGGAGGCTAAGGAGGGGGCGAGGCGGAGTGATTGGGGGAGGAATTCCAGAAGTTGGGAACAGAGTGGCTGAAGGCTCTCCCGCCTTTGGTGGGGCGGGTGGGTCGGGGAACGTGGAGTTGGAAAGTTGGAAAGGCCGACAAGCAGGACGTTTGCATAGTCGAGCCTGGAGGTGATGAAGGCATGAACAAGAGTTTCAGCGGCCTGAGGGGTGAGGTAGTGGCAGAGGTTGGGCGATTTACAGAGGTGAGGGAAGGCAGAGTGGGTCATGGCTTGAATGTGTGGGAGTAAAGACCGTTGAGGGTCGAACAAGACACCTAGGTTCCTGACTGACTTGGTGAGTTGTAGTGTGCAACCATGGAGGTTGATGCTGCCAGAGCCTGAGGTGCTGAGGCGCTGGCGTGAGCCAATCAGGAGGGCCTCAGTCTTGTCCACATTCAACTGTAGGAAATTTGCCCTCATCCAGGACTTGATGTCCGACAGACAGTCCGTCAGGACAGCAGTGGTCCTGGAGTTGAGGGTGGAGGCAGAAAGATAGAGTTGGGTGTCATCTGCATACGTGTGGAAGTTGACCCCATGTCTGTGAATGATGTCACCAAGGGGGAGCATGTAGATATTAAAGAGGAGAGGGCCAAGGACAGAGTCCTCGGGGACGCCAGATGTGACAGTGCGGGGGCTGGAGGAGAAACCGTTAGAGGCAACGAAGTGGAGACAGTGAGAGAGACAGGAATCGAACCAGGCAGATCCGCGAAGATTAATAATAATAATAATAATAATAATAATAATAATAAGTAAAGCGGAGAGGCGGTGTATGAGGATGGAGTGATTGACAGTGTCGAAGGCGGAAGAGAGGTTGAGGAGGACAAGGAGGCAGAGGGAGCCCTGATCACAGATGTTCAGAATGTCATTAGTGACTTTGACCAGGGCTGTTTCCGGGCTATGGGCAGCGTGGAAGCCGGATTGGAGGGGTTCAAAGAGGGAATGGCGAGAGAGAAAGGAGCGGAGCTGGGACGCGACGACTCGTTCCAGGACCTTGGAGAGGAATGAGAGGTTAGAAATAGGGCGGTAGCTGGAGAGGAGGGATGGATCCCGGGAAGATTTTTTCAGGATGGTGGGGTGATGACAGCTGTTTTTAGGGGGGTGGGAACTGAGCCAGTGGACAAGGAGAGATTGATAACGTCGGACAGGAGGGGGGGGGGCAGAAGGTGGAGCTGGGAGATGAGGAGAGAGGTGGGGATGGGATCGAGGGAGCAAGTGGTGGGTTTGAGTTTGCGAACGATGGCGGTGAGGGAGGAGGAAGAGATAGGGTCGAAGGAGTATAGGGGGGATGGGTGGGGGGTGGGTCATGAGGGAGAGGTGATGTGGGGGTGGCGGTGGATATAGGATGTTAGGATCAGTGGTAGCCAACTTGTGGCATCAAGAAATAAATCAAGAAATATTTTTGTTGACCCACCGTAAAGGATGGCCATCACTGAGTTTGATGCATTGTAAAGCTTTCTTTATTAATTAACCGTAACCCTAGGAGACCAACAACTCTTGCAAGAGTGTGACAGTTTCCATTTACCTCACTGACTAAACTTCCTTCTAACAGTTTATGAAATTAAATAAAATATTGTACTGTAAATGTCAATGAGGAGTCAAATAAATTGTTCTCACATAATACTTGTCCAAAGATAGTTTACTTTCAGGTGTGTCTATTTAGTTCAGCATTTGGAGGAAGTTTTAAAAAAAAGTTTGTGAATTCTAACGAGCACTTAGAAGTTGAGGCAGAAACTGTAATTTTCTAAGCAATGAAGCCTACAATTAAATTTTCAAAAGGATCGGATGATCAATGTACCATATCCACATAATGTGAATTTTCTCCAGAGTCAACGATAAATAGCCAACTTGCTGGCAGCTCCTTCCATCGCTGCTGGCAGTGCTGATCTGTTCTAAAGTCACTCTGTGTTTCTTGGATAGTTTAAACTTGTCACTTAAGATTCAAACAAGACAAACCAACAAAACATCTTAGGAAACAGAGGCCACCATCCTTCACAGACTTCCTGCAAAGACAGAGGCTGGTATCCCTATCCATCATCTGTCCTTCCTGACCCCTGCTTCCAAGTGAATCCAGGATCAGCAAAACGCTACAATAGAAGGAGTTGGATTGCTTTATTGAGAGAATGACCCTATTCTATGGCACCACAATCAATTACAACACAGAATTCCATGTAAAAGTATAGTCAGTTCAGTTTCAGCTTCCCTTCAATAGCAATGTATTTTATTCTGCAATGCAAAAATCCTCTGCTGTATTCTCACAGCAGAGATAACTTTACTGATATGGACTTTCTGTGAATCTGGACTAATCCCACGTGCAAAATTCACCCTTAAAGTGCAATTTAATTTGCATTTCCTTCAAACCAGCGTCAACGTGGAAGGCAGCCGTGACACATGCAAGTGCAGCTGGTCAGAAACTACCTTCGGCTTCTAATTTTCCATTGCCAGGCAAAACCACTTGATCCGCTGCCCTGGCAAGCTTATCTGCAGTGTTAGACCTTGATGATTCAGTGCCTGTACTTCACAGAAAAATATTTGCTCACTTTTTTAAAAAAAATCACTGACTCCTGCCAGAGACTGAGTGCAGCTGGAATACAAAGGATTGCATGAAATATTGAGAGATCCTGTGGTACTGCAGGTTTATTACTATGTCAAACCTATATTCTACAGAAACTGTGTGTGTGGTGGGAGAAGACAAGAGAGAAAATCAGCCACGTGAGATAGAAGAGACATGATCCTAAGTAAGTATAATCGTACAGAATGTACAATGGTGCCCAGAATAGGAGGCAGATGCAAGTTCATTCCACATCTGGCAACTTGTCAACACAGTAATCTGAGATGGCATGAGGGCGGGGAAAGAGTCAGAGTTATTCAACAACAAGGTAAAAGCCCCATAAACTCTGGGGCAACACAACTCCCAGACTGCTCCAACTCCCTCCCAAATAGATACTTACAGAAATGGGAGATTGTAGAAAGCTGAGGGGAGGGGGAGTTAAATCTAGGCAGTGGAGGGGGAAAAGGGGAATTTTTAAAAAAAAAATATTTTTAAATCAAAACTGCAGCTCATAACTCTTTTTAATAATAACCTTTGACAAAGAGTTGGACAGGTCATTGCATTGTTTTCCTTAAGTGTGTATATTGCTTTTACATAAATCAATACCCCTTTACTAAAATATTAAAGTTTGTGAGGATAATCAATCTTAAGAGGTTAGACTGTTCCGAGACACACTGTCCACTCCCTATTTGAATTAAGTATTCTTTTCAAGCGTGGTAACGTTTACATATATTCAGTAGACTTGCTTAAAGGTAAGTCTTCCTCTTTGACTGCACCTTCAGTCATCTTCTCCCTTCATCACTCGCATCTTTCAAGGCCGGTCTCAAGACCCTTCTCTTCGACCGTGCCTTTGGTCTCCCTCCCACTTTTCTGCCTTCCCTCACCCCTACACCAACCCTCTCCCATACTCGGGCTCAGACATCTGACTGCTCAGCGCTTTGGGATGTCCTCCCGACGTGAAAGGCGCTATTTAAATATAATTTTGTTGTTGTTGTTCTCATCTTCCCTTCCACCCCACTCCACTTGGCTCCCAATCCAACCCCCAGCTCAGGTACAAACCCTCAACTGTCCAGCAACTTGGGATATCCTCCCAATGTGAATTTGCAATTTGTTCTTAAAACATATTCAGCACTATACAGAGGGTGAGCTGCAAAGAAGAGAATATCTATTTGATGCAGTTTGTCTGGGAAGCTATTGGGACATTCATTTAAAGGGAAGAGCGAAGTATTCAGGGTTATGATCCAACCCACACCACACTCGCTGATAGGAAATGCCGGAAGACAACTGCAATGCGCAATGATTTAGAATTTCATTTAAGCAATCTTTTATTTTGGTCAGACGGGTGTCTTGACACATATGGAAACCCAACATCATACTTAAAGAGTATCGAAACCAAACAGAGTTCCACAAACGTGTGGCATTTTCACATTGAATTTTGCCTCGTGTCTGGAATAGAATGCATGCTTACCTTTCTCCCAAAACTCACCACTGCCCCTGGAGGCTAATCACAAGCAGTCTTAAACCAGGTTTGAATGCTCTGAGATGCTATCCTGCAAGTTGTTGTTGTTAAATGTAGGTGGGTAAAAAATTGCTCACAATTCCATACTACATTGTCAAGCTACCCAAGATGCCTGGTAAGAGACATGAAACATGTCACCTCGCTGCAGTAAGACGCAGCTATCAGAGTTGGAGGTTAAACCACGAAGTTGGAGCAGAGTAAAACAAGCTCTGCCTACGTTAAACCTGACTTGGCTTGATGCTGTCACTGATTATAAAGAAATTGGGGGGAGGAGAGGGGAAGGAATATTCAGGACCAGAGAAAGCGAAAATGTTTTTCATACTATAGATTAGTTTAATGAATTATTACAAGTTCAGCATTCATTTTGTTTAATACTAGAAGGCGACATAGCTCATGGACGGGTTCAGTTAAGGTGAGACTATTTTTAACCTGCTGAAATTACTGTTTAATGAGAATCCTTCAGAGGTGCTGGACTTGCATTGCAGGCAGTCATAGGACTTGGGTGGCAATTTGCCACCTGGCCTGGAACATGGTTGACAACGTAAGTTTTCTTTTCCACCAAAAAGGCAGTCTGTCGCACACAGAAGATACAAGGAATAGGCTGTTTATTAAACTCTATCTGGTTTCTCTGTCACAGAATAGTACTTGCTGTGCAGGAGCGGGGGCCCCATTGATTTTCACCAGCCAATGTAACCATGAGCCATGCTGAAACAGAACAAAAGGTTACAGAGAGCACGATGGGAAAATGTTCATCAAAATACACTTTGTTCTACTTTAATTAGAAATTGCTGCAAAGTAGCTGAAAGTTTGCCAAGCTGCTTCCCCAAGCATGTCCATGTGTGTAAACTCGCCCTCGCCTCTGGGCTCTGGGGCCAAGGCACTGGGTTTCCAAAGAAAACTAGACACATTCTGCTAACAGATCCTCGCCTTTGAACGCAGCGCAGCGTATGCATGTTGCCTCACATTGGGGTGCCCACTTTTCAGGATCATGGTACCAACAACAACAACAAGATTACATTTGTATAGCACCTTTCACGTCGGGAGGAATTCCCAAGATGCTGAATAATAATCCTTTGCATTTGATATAGCGCTTTTCACATCTTCTAGATGTCTCAAAGCGCTTCACAGAATATGCTGTAAAGTAAATTGACCGTATATCTTT